AGACTACAGACCTGAAAAGACAAGAAACTCCTCCATATAAAGCCAAGGAAAGACTAGAAAGCAGAAGGGAGACCAGATTTGACTGGACCACCTCTCCAACAGACCTGCACTCAGTGAAAACTTCCTCACCGGTCTGTGCACACAATGGAATGTTACTCTGCTTTAGGAAGAAAATTGGTCAAAACTCCTGTGCTGATCAGTAGTGGGATTGTGCCTGTGAACAGCCTCTGTGCTCCAGCTGGGGCAACATAGCAAGACCCAATCTCTAAAATCAAAAAGGAAGGGAATTTGGTCACATGCTACAGCATGAATGAACCATGAGGATGCAATGCAAAGTGGAATAAACCAGATACGAGAGGACAGATACTATATCGGTTCACTCCAGGTTCCTAGAGTGGTCAAATCTACAGAAGCAGAAAGTGGAATAGAGCTTGCCAAGGGCTGGAGAAGGGAAGATGGCAAGTTGGGGTTTAATGGGCGGAGTTTCTGTTTGGGAAGAGAAGACTGCTCTGATACAAAAGTACTTAATCCCGCTGCACTGCATACTTAAAAATGGTTAAAAGAGTGATGTTTATGGTACATATTTTACCACACAAATAACATACTTATGTGTGTGTATATGAGTAATATGTAAATATAAATATATATTATATTTATATATATATTTAAACGTCCTGACTGGAGTAGGGCTTGGCTGGCAGAGGTGCCTTCCCTCCCTGCCTGCAGTGCCCTCAGGGCTGGAAAAGCCTCCAGGACACTGAGTGTACCCCTTGCTTGGTTTCCACTCCTCTTGCAAGAAGAGGTGTTTGCGTCTGCACGTCTCTCAGCCTCAGCGCTGCATTGCACCCCCAGGCTGGCCAGCACGGGATGCAGGTGGGCAAACAGTCACTGCAATCCGGAGTCTCTCATCCTCCCCACTCCCACCTCAGGCCCATTTCCCTGATGAAGTTTCACCACATTGCTCCTGGACATCTCCAGGGGTGTCTAGTGTGAACAAGGAAAAGGAATATTCTGGACGCTGGTCCTGGTCGCTCACCTGGAATGCACATGAACCACTCTTTTGCACACAGGCCCGTCTACATCCAGACACTTGGTGCTGCCCTGAAGTAGTGTCCTGGTGGCCATAGAGTACACAGGAAAGTCCAGCAGACACACATGATCAAGGTCGGGCATTATGTCAGCTGTATAAACCCATTTTCTCCAAAATACTAAATTTTAACTTTTGGAAAACCCAGAAAAACTGCTTAAAGCCAGCCGACGTTCTAAGTTTCGCAGAAGCGTGTGAAAATCCCCATCCTCGGGAGCCGTCTCACTGCACACGCCCTGAGTCTCGGTCTCCCTCCTGTGTGAATACAGGGAAGCGGGAATGCGATGAGGGGTCTGGTGCGGACCAGCCCCAGAGCAGCGGAGTGCAGGGCCAGCGCTCCAGAAATCCAGCCTGTGCCGGGACAGCCCTAACTCCAGCAACGCTAGAGGGCACCAGTGCCAAGCACCCGCTCCCAGCAAGCCGGCTTGCTCCCAGATGGGCGAAACCGCGGGCTGAGTGCGGGGGTGGGGGAGGGAGGAAGCAAAACTCGTGCCACGGCCTGGATGAACCTGGAGGGCAAAACGCTCAGTGAAACCGGCCAGTCACTCGAGCACAACTACTGCGTGACTCAGCACTGACCGCCCGGCTACCTGTCATTCTGTTCCAGGTTGCCATCGAAAAATACTATAGACTGTAGCTTATAAAGGACAGAAATTCAATTCTCATTCTTCCGGATGCTGAGAAGTGTGAGATCAAGGGAGCGGCAGATGTGGTGCCTGGCACAGGTCCTCTTCTTGGTTCCTGCTGTCTTTTCACTGTAACTTCACATGGTGGGAGGGGCCATGTGAAGGAGCCCTCCAGGTCTCTTTTATAAGAGGGGCTCTGCCCCCATAACCTAATTGTATCGTCTCCCAAAGGCCCCACCTCCTAAGAATATCACTTTGGGGGTCAGGATGTCAACATATGACTTCGTGGAGAAGGAGGTGGGGCACGAACATTCAGTCCATTGCACTACAGTCGACAGACTCATGGAGACAGGAGGTAGAATAGTGGTGACAGGGGCTGCAGAAAGGGGGCATGGGGACCTAGTGTTTACTGGGGACAGAGTTTCAGTTTTGCAAGATGAAAAGTTCTGAGTATGGATGGTAGTGATGGTTGTGCACCATTGTGAATATAATTTTAATGCCACACTGAACTGCACACTTAAAAATGGTTATGGGCCAGGCACACGGTTCATGCCTATAATCCCAACACTTTGGGAGGCTGAAGAGGGGGATCACTTGAGGTCAGGAGTTCGAGACCAGCCTGGCCAACATGGTGAAACCTCATCTCTACTGAAAATACAAAAATTAGCTAGGCGTGGTGGCATGCATCTGTAATCTTAGCTGCTGGGGAGGCTGAGGCACAAGAATCCTTGAACCTGGGAGGCAGAGGTTGCAATGAACCGAGATGGCACCATGGCATTCCAGCGAGACTCTGTCTCAAAAAAAAAGAGAGAGAGAGAGAGAGAGAGAGAGAGATGGAGTCTCACTCTGTGGCCCAGGCGGGAGTGCTGTGGTACCATCTTGGCTCACTGCAACCTCTGCCTCCCAGGTTTAAGCAATTCTCCTGCCTCAGCCTCCAGAGTAGCTAGGATTACATGCACGCACCACCATGCCTGGCTAATTTTTGTATTTTTAGTAGAGACAGGGTTTCACCATGGTGGCCAGGCTGGTCTCAAACTCCTGACCTCAGGTGATCCACCTGCCTTGGTCCCCCAAAGTGCTGAGATTACAGGCGTGAGACACCATGCCCAGCCCAAGACTCCATCTCAAAAAAATATATAAATAAAGTTAAGATGGTAAATTTTATGTTAATAAAATAAAAAACAATAAAAATAAAATAACAATTTAAAAAATCAAAGGTAATCAATTCCCATTCTGCTCCAATTTCAGAGAAACACATGGGCAAAGACAGGGAGGGGTGACTGGCAGTGCTGCCCGGGCCCTGCTGCCTTTCGGATCTCTGTCACCAGGGCTCTTTCTAGCTCCCTCCCCAGAAGAGAACATCAGCGATTTGTACAGGCCCCTTCCTAGGCCTGTCTGAACTGCCGGGGGTGATGGTTGTGGAGAGAACCCAGTGTGTGGGCAGCAAGCAGGCAGCCTGCCCCCTTCCCATTCCCCTCCAGCGTGTCCCTCTTACTGATGCAACACACGGCGAGTGTTCCCACACTTCGTTTAATATTCACGCACTGTAGAGTGCTTCCTCCAGCTCCTCAATCTTCAGGACAGCCCGGACTCCAAGACTGGTGGTGAGAAGCTGCAGAAATCACAAGCATCTCTTGGGGACCTCTGGTTCCCTGGCCCAGCTTGCTGGCCCCTGGTCGCTTTAGGGAGTCCTGTACCTTCTCTGAGCAGCAGGTTCCTCATTGGTAAAATGAAAGAGTTGGACAAGATGATCGATCCCCCAGAGCCCTTGGAGAGCCAGCTTTCTGAGAACTGACCTGGCATAACATACCCCATTTAGCGTATATGAAGCCAAAACAGAGAGGAAGAGAGTCCCAGCAGGAGGAGTCAGAGAGCCAGAACAGAGCATGCTTCTTAGAAAAGGACACGGTCGGGGGCAAGGGCACCGTGACCTTCCCAAAGTCATGAAAGGCACAGGGCTCTGCAGCTCCTTGTTGTTCCCGGTAGAACATCGCGCTTTCCCAGGAGAATACCTGGGGATCGCATAAATAAACCAGTCCTGCACTGCTTTCTGGGCTCCTGTGTGACTCCAGGGCTTGCTCTCCGGCAGCTGTGGGCACCCACCCAGACCCTGCCGGCCTGCAGACAGCCATTGAGCCAGTCCCACCTGTGGGCCCTTGAATGATCCTCTGGCCCCCAGCCCCGCCCTATCTGTCTACTCTTCCTAGCGGGCTGGTAAGGTGATAAAGCTGATGTGCAGGACACTTTCCTTGCACCTTTCCTGTCCACACTAGTTCAACCCTCCAGGCTACCCTCGGGCAGCAGAGCCATGCCTGCCCAGGACTCGCACTGTCTGCATTAGGTAACAGTTTCACGAGGCGTTTGCAGTTGTCAAGAGGCTGATGTGACTGCGCCTGATTTACAGAGCTTTCCCTCCAACCTGAGTCAAGCTGGCTCCCCAGAGAGGCACCCCAGGCCTTTCCTGGGCCAGACCTGCTGCTCTGGACTGTCCTGAGTGAGGAACACCTGAATACGCCACAGCATAGAGGAAAGGACTGTGAGCATGGGAGCGCCCTCAGGCAAGCCCTTCCCTGGGGTTTGTGAGGATGGGAGAGCCCTCAGGCAAGCCCTTCCCTGGGTCTTGGAAACCCCATGACTCCTATTTCTCATGTCATTTTCTGCATCATGGAGTGAATACTTAGACACAGGAAGCTCATGAACAGAATGATTCTGTCCTAGAGACTGAAGGAGTGAATCAGGGCTTGGTCACCCTGCAGTAAGGTTCTAAGCCTGATACCTTCATTTACCAACACAGTAAAAAAGGAATTTGTTGTCTTAGAAGCTGCATCTGTCACCCTGCTCAGAAACAAGTCCAAGCAGTCATTCTAAGTGTGGCCTTCAGCCCATGCCAAACTTAGATCAACTGCAGGCTGGGAGCTTTCCGAGGCAAGAATGGAAGTGTGTGTGCCGCAGTGGCATGTGTGGGTGTGCACTCGTGTTTGTAGGTAGCATTTACACACACCCACCATGGGCATGCACGTGTGTCTCCCTGTGCCGGTATGCTGAGTGCTTCAGGAGTTGACCGGCACTCCACACGCAGGGGATGGAAAAGCCATCACATTTATTATCCATCCTTGTGCAGTATTTAAAATACAACTTCGAATGTGTGCAGATTTTTAAATGTTACTGAACCACTTGGGTTTTTTTTGAGACGGGGCTGACTCTGAGCCAGACTGCATCTGTCTGCATTGAAAGGAACCATTATTTCCCTCCCGCTCCGCCCTGCCCCCTCCACACATACCCTCCTTCAAGTGAAACCTGAGCGTTTCCTTTCCCGTAAGGCTTCTTCTAGAAGCCTGTGCTCAGCACAGGGGCCAAGCCCTGCGGCTCAGGCAGGCCCACATGACTCTTGAACTGCAGACTCAAGTCCCAAGGTGGGAAACCGTTTGTCAGCAGCCCCCAGATTTACAACCACGAGGCCAGGCTGGTCTTGGGGTGCAAAGCCATTGTTCAACCCACCAGTCATGCAAAGAGTTCCCAGGATTTTTTATTTTCCCCTCCAAAAAGCTCTCTTCAGCTTTGAAGAAATGCTGTTTCCTCCCCTGGTTACTTCTGCCCAATTAGAATTCTGATCTCAGGATCCAAATAAAGGGTGGACCACAGAGCACCTTCCTTCTGCACAGAAGGGCACCCCTGTTACTAAGCGTGCCGGAAAGTGCCTGACTGTTTCCCACTCGTCATCAGGGTAATCTTAAGCTAGAGAGTTCCCTTTGGGCGATATGCCAGGTCTTCTACTTTTTCCAAGAGACACCATGGGCCATACTTCCTGAAATACATGATTTTAAATCTACTTTTTTTGAAAAATAATTTTGAATCATTAATTTTTGAAAATGCTTTTCTACAACCAACAGCACCTCTCTGTTAACCCTGTGATTTTCATTTGTTGAAATTTTCCGATTCTGACCACTGGAATCTGTATCTTACCAAGTTTCGACTGGACATACAATGTTTCCACTTAACATCATTTAAAGCCACTTCCATTTTCAGTTCAGTCTGCGCAATTCTAGTTCCAAATGCTCCATTTCTGTTAGGTTCAGAGTATGTGCTGGGATTTCTTTCGTCATTCCTTTATTGCTGGGCATTTGGGTGAAACAAGTGTAGACACGTTGTTTTTTCCACTTAATTATTTCCTTTGGATGAATTTCCATGAGCAAGATGATTGGGTCCACTGGTATAATCATTTTCAAACTTGATGTATTCCAAAGTACTGCCCAAAAAGCTTTTAACTACTTACAATGCCACCAAGAGCAAGTATATATATTTTTTTATTGTGAACTTGCCAGGAATTAAATTAGCTTTTCTTGACTTAGTAGATAAAAATAGATAACCTCAAACGGTTCATTTTCATTTCTTTAACGATTGATGAAGGTTTTATTGTTTTGGTTTGGGTTTTTTTTCCCCTGTGAACTCTGTGCTTGTTTAAATGTAGCCTGTGGCTACACCTTCATCCTACCTCTCTCAACTCCTACTGCAAAGCAAAGGATGCAGATGCAGGTTGCAGTGAAAGGGAGCTGGGATCCTCAGAATAGCCTGCAGGTTAACCACCCAATACGAATTACAATGGAGACCTCCCCAGCTATGAGAGAATAGGAGATTGAGCCAGGAGATGGGATGGAGGTGTGTAAAGAAGTCATTCGCAGGGAGAGTGACGGTTGTGGCATATTTCTTCCTTTTCCGGGTGCTGGTGGGTTTTCTGTGCTGATACCTGTTTTATTCCGGGCTACTGCCTTCCATGGAGCTCTCACATCCTGGAGGCTAAATTTCCTTTCTCTTCCTAATCACAGGGACCCAGCACTTAAGCTCACTCTATACAGCTGTGAGCTACTTTTTTTTCTGAGATGGAATCTTGCTCTGTCACTAGGCTGGAGTGCAATGGTATGATCTCAGCTTAATGCAACCTCTGCCTCCTAGGTACACGGGATTCTCCTGCCCCAGCCTCCCAAGTAGCTGGGACTACAGGTGCGCATCATCATGCCTGGCTAATTTTTGTATTTTTAGTAGACATGGGGTTTTACCATGTTGGCCAGGATGGTTCCGATCTCTTGACCTCATGATCCACCACCTCAGCCTCCCAAAATAAAGACAGTACTTCTATAACACAACCCCTACTTTCTCTCCAGTAGTGGTGTTGGCTTTCCAAAGAATTTCTTCCTCATGAAAGGGAGCCTCAGGGGCATGGGCCAAAGCCTCCAGGGGCTCTGCTTTGGGAATCTGATGGAAAGCAGGCACACATCTCACATCAGCCGCTGCAGCCACCAGGTATTCAGTGGAGATGTTCCGTGTTGCCCTGGTGAAGACACTGATGCCTAGATAATGTCTTGGGATGGCTCTTCTGGAGGGCAGCCAGGACTGATGTCTTTTGAGGAAGTTAAGAGACAGCTTTGGATAACGAGAAAGAGAAACATGATGAGAAATTAGGAGCAGGGCATCTGCCATGTTTCCCGGATGTTGAGGCACCTAAGGAGTTTTCTGCTTATGAGGATCTTAACTGCAACATTCAGGACCCTTTATTCTTATATTAAACAGCCTTTGCTAAAGAAGAGCTTCCCTACTGTCCTGGACAGATGGTTTCCCTGTAGACCGTCAAATGTGGTCCCTCAGACAATCACATTCCTGAGCTTCTTGGGATTCCTATGCTGTGCTGTGTTTTCCCTCTAGCATGGCAGGAACTGCCCACATGATATGTGTCTGCTTGTATATCTGTCTCTCTCCCATTAGACTGTCAAGTCCAGGAAGCAAGAGCATCTCCCACTTCTCCTAGTCCCAGCTCATGGCAAGCCATGGGAGTGTTGAGTGAATGAATGGCTTTGGGCATGAAACCAAAGGCTAATCTGATTAAGCCCATCAAATTTAACCTGCCTTGCATGCTTCTTTTTTTTTTTTTTAGAGACGTAGTTTCGCTCTTGTTACCCAGGCTGGAGTGCAATGGCGCGATCTCGGCTCACTGCAACCTCCGCCTCCTGGGTTCAGGCAATTCTCCTGCCTCAGCCTCCCGAGTAGCTGGGATTATAGGCACGCGCCACCATGCCCAGCTAATTTTTTGTATCTTTAGTAGAGACGGGGTTTCACCATTTTGACCAGGATGGTCTCGATCTCATGACCTCGTGATCCACCCGCCTCGGCCTCCCAAAGTGCTGGGATTACAGGCTTGAGCCACCGCGCCCGGCCTGCATGCTTCTAATTACCTGCTTCTTGTCAACTTTTTAACCTGTGTAGCTGAAAGTCACAGAGCCAAAAGCTTCTACCTAAACTGTCTCTAGCTTCCTTAGAGATAACATCTCTGACAGTGGATCACTGAGAGGTGACTTTTTGAAATCATAGGGCCAAAAACTGCCCTCTCGGATCATGCTAACACCACCAATTTCTGAGCATGCAGCCTATGAAGAGCCATGAAGAGACATAAAGTTTGACTATGCATGTGCAGATCACCAATTACCTCACTTTCCCTCACCCTCAGTCACCTTTCCCCACACTTCAGATCGCCCTGCTTCTTTAAGCCATACATATCTCTAAACCAACTTTTGGGGATGCGGATTTGAAACCTGTTCTCCTGCCTCCTCATGGATAAACCCTTTCTCTTTTGCAAAGCCCACTGTCACAGTGATTGGTTTACTGCATGCAGGCAAGTATCAGGTAGAGAGACCTGATACTCACTCTCCTTGAGTAAGTGGATGACTGCAGAGCTGGGATGGAAGTCTAGGCACAGAGAGGGCAACAGCACCAAGATCTGTTCTAACCATCCACCCCAAACAGCTCCCCTGCCCTGAATCCCATGTGGCCAAGGGCTCATGTGAATCCACAAAGAGCCCATATGAATAAAACCCTTGACATCAGGTTTTTGGGAACCAGCCTGCCACCCCCTGAACCAATCAGCTACCAGTTAAGCACTAGTCCCCAGAGCAGGAAGCCTGGGCACTGGTGCATTCTTGATGGGGCCTCAGCTCCTGCAGGGTAATCACACTCTCTCAGGTGGCCTCCTGGGATCAGTAATCAGTGATACCCTGATAATAAAATTACTGAGCCCTGATTGCAAGAAACTTCCTTGAAGATTCTGGCCCAGTCTTTCTAACTGGGTATTGTGAGAAATAATCAGTTTCATCTCATTTTGGTTCTTTTAAAACTCCCCCCTTGAAAAATTCAGATCATTATCTGTATCCAGTGCCTTGCTTCAGCTTTAGAAAATTTGTGTTAGAGACTGCTATGTGTTCACCAAACCCCAGACAGCTTTTTAAAGAAACTTTATGCATACATAGTATAGGCGTGTACATAGCGTCTGTTTATTTTTGCGTATGATAGCACAGTCTTACTCATTCTTTTCACTTAGCACTGTGGCTTGGAGTCCAGTCTATATCAGTACATTTAGAACTGTCTTGTTCTTTTTCATAGCTGTGTAGAATCCCCATGTGGATTTGCCATAATCTCTTTAACCTGCCACCCACTGATGACCGTTTAAGTTGTTCTCAGACTTCTCCTATTATGAGCAATGTTGCACATTCTTGTGAAATTATACCTGCAAGATATAGTCCTAAAGTGGGATTGCTATGTCAAAGGGCATGTCCTTTTTATTATGGATAGGGATTGTCTAGTTGTCCTGCACAGATATTGATGCCTGTTCTCACTTAAGTTGACCATGAATGTGCCTGTCTCTCCTTATATTTATGATTTTTTTTCTTTTTCTTTTTTTTTTTTTGAGATGGAGTCTTGCTCTGTTGCCCAGGCTGGAATGCAGTGGCACAATCTCAGCTCGCTGCAACCTCTGCCTCACAGGTTCAAGCAATTCTCTGCCTCAGCCTCCCAAGCAGCTGGGATTACAGGACCCCAGCATCACACCGAGCTAATTTTTGTATTTTTAGTAGAGACTGGGTTTCGCCACATTGGCCAGGCTGGTCTTGAACTCCTGACCTCATGATCCACCTGCCTAGACCTCCCAGAGTGCTGGGATTTCAGGCGTGAGGAACTGCACCCAGCTACTTATGATATTTTATCACCTATTTAATCTTTGTCAATTTGATAAATGAAAAAAAATCTCACTGAAGTTTTGAGTTGTATTTCTTTCTCTTTTTTTGAGACGGAGTTTCACTCTGTTACCAGGGTGGACTGCAGTGGTGCGATCTCGGCTCACTGCAACCTCAGCCTCCCAAACTGCTAGGATTACAGGTGTGAGCCATTGCACTTGGCCAAGTTGCATTTCTAATACTATGAGGTTGAGCATCTTTTGTTAGGCTTTAGAGGCATTGGTTCTGCTTGTCTTTCAACTCTTGCTTCACCCTCTTTGCCCATGTTTCTACTGGGCTCTTTCCTTACTAATTTGTAAGAACTCTACACATCAAGAGCATTAGACCCCTGTGCAGTCCAAGTTGAAGCATTTCTTTCCCTTTTGACCCTTAGGTATTTGGGGGACTTTACTGTTTTGTTTGTTTTCTCCCTTGCAGAAGGTTCTTTCTTTTACATCCAGTCATCCCTCCATGGGTTCCACACCTGCAGATTGAACCAGCCACAGATGGAAAATATTTGGAAAAGAAACAATAAAAACCAACACGACAATAAAAAATGATACAAATACAAACAATATAGTATAACAACTATTTACATCGCATTTACATTGTATTAGCCATCCTAAGTAACCCAGAGATGATTTAAAATATACAGGAAGATGTGCATAAGTTATGTGTACACATCATACCATTTTATATCAGGGATTTGAGTATCTGCAGATTTTGGTATCTGTGAAGGTCCTGGATCTAATCCCCCAGATACTGAGGATGAGCTGTGTCCATTTTCTTTCAGTCTTTTTGCATTTGCCATATTTTTAGTATGCATACAAAATTCTAATAGGTATTTGAATGTTCTTGAACTTTATAGACTGTTCCATTGAGGTTTCTCTCCACATCAGAAACCCAGTGTTAATTATAATAGCTTAATATGTGTCTAATATCTGGCACAGATAGTCCCCTTTCCTATTATTCCTTTTTTTCTAGAACTTTCCTGTCTCTTTTGCTTATTTATCTTCCCATAAGAGCTTTGGCATTAACTGTCTACATCCAAAAAAATTATCTAGAAATCTTTAACCTATAGAAAATCGATGTGTTATGGAGCGTTATACAGTAACATGGTATGTGGGTTTTTCTTGTTGTTCTGGGGTTTTTGGTTGATTTGTCTGGTTGGTTAACTGGTTGGTTGGCTGGTTTGGGTTTTAGTTTATTATTGTTGTTCATTCTTGACTAAGTCCTATTTGGATTACTTCCGTGGCATTTGATGCGTTTTTATATAGATACCTGCACATTTCTGATTAAGTTTACTACTAGGAGGCCTTTTCATGATTTTTCTATGGTATATAGAATATTTGTTTCATTGTGTCTTAGACTAACTAGATTTCATTTGTCTACATAAAAGCTAATGACTACAGGGTGTAAATTTTGATTCCAGCCAACTTGCTAAAATATGTTACTGTTTTTAATTTCCTGGAAAACCCAAGAAAATCTGCTAGAATAAAATAACTACCATAGAAGCTTCAAATGATGACAGTTTACCTCCTCCTTTTAAATTTTGATACATCTCATTTCTTCTAGTGTGTTATATTGACTGATGTCTAGAACAGTGTTACGCGGTATTTGTGAAAGTGTATATACTCGTCTTAGTCCTTTCTTTAATGTCAACGGTTCAAGTGCTACTGCATTTTTAGGTGTATATATAGCCAAGCATGGTGGTGAGTGCCTGTAGTCCCAGCTGCTCAGGAGGCTGAGGTCGGAGGATCACTTGAGCCTGGGAGGCAGAGGTTGCAGTGAGCTGAGATCACACCACTGCACTACAGCCTGGGTGACAGAGTGAGACTTCATCTCAAAAAAAAAAAAAAATTTTTAAAATAACAATACAGGAATAAAAAAATACAAATAACAGTACAACTATTCACATGTTGTTTGCACTGTATTCGGTCTTAAAGGTAGTCTAGAGGTGATTTAAAGTATGCGGTGCAAATCAGGTTATCTGCAAATGTGACATTTCAGAACTTGAGCACCCTAGGATTTTGGTACCCTCCGGGGTCTAGGAACCAGTTCCCCAGATACTAAGGGAGGCCTGTAATGACCATGGTGTGGGCAGGATTCGAGAGCAGCCAGGGACAGGGACTGTTAAATTCCTCCCTTTCAGGTGCAGCTTTCACGTCACTGCAGCCAACAGCCAGGCTGTCTCTGCAGATCCATCTGACATTCACTTTCAGCCACGGGGGCACTTGCCCCGAACACAGCAATCCTCCGGGCCCGACTCCCAAATCACGGCCGGTGCTTCCAAAATGCGCCTCTGCTAGCTGATGTCTCCGCATGTGCAGAAACGGCACACATACCCTAATGCTGTTTTGAAAACTGCACAATAGGTAGGCATGA